AAGTCTCCAACCTGGAACTGCACATCCCGCTTATTCTGGTCTGCCCACTTCTTCAACCTCTTTACCGCCTTGTGTAGACAAACTCTAGCCAAGTCAGTTTGCTCCTGCCATGCCTTGGCAAACTTATATGTTACTGGATTCGACCTTGTATAACCTGCAACAATCAAACTGGGTGTTAGTGGTTGTTGCCCTGTCACAACCTTAAATGGGGTTTGGTTCGTTGCCTCGCTTCTTTGAAAGTTGTAAGAAAACTATGCAACATCTAGCAGCTTTGGCCAGTCCCTTTGTATGGCACTCACATAGTGCTTGAGGAAGACCTCCAATAGTTCGTTCACATGCTCAGTCTGCCCATCGGTCTACGGATGCATGCTAGTGGAAAAGTTCAAGTCTGACCCCAATAGCTTGAACAACTCTGTCTAGAACCTGCCTGTGAAATGCTCATCCCGATCACTAACAATGGTCCTCGGTACTCCCCAGTACTTAATAATGTTCTTTAGGAACAATCGAGCTGCCTGCTTGGTTGGGCACTCCTTGGTTGCTGGAATGAAGATTCCGTACTTGGAAAACCTATCCACCACTACCATGATGCTTCCAAACCCCTCTGCTTTGGGTAGACTAACTATAAAGTCTAGAGAAACACTCTCCCATGATCGCTCTGGCACTGGCAATGGCTCCAAGAGACCACCTAGTTTCTTGAGCTCCACCTTGTCCTATTGGCATGCAAGATAAGTCTTCACATAGGCCTCCACATTGTCCCTCATGTGCGGCCAATAGTACCGATCCTCGATCACCACCAAGGTACGGCTCACTCCTGGGTGTCCAACACACCTTGAATCATGGCACTCTTGTAAAACTTCCTTGCGAAACTTCCCATGCTGCAGCACAAATAGTCTACTACCCATGGTGTACAACAAACCATCTTGCACCCAAAACTGCCTAGTCTTACCATGCTGGGTGTACTTCATAAGAGCCTTGGCTGTAGGATCATGCGCAAGTCCCTCCTTGATGTGCAGCACTAGTGACCCCTCTGGTTGGCTAATGGCAGTAAGCTTAGCCTTCCTGCTTAGGGTGCCTGCCACCAAGTTCACCCACCATGGCTTGTACTCTATATGGAAATCAAATTCTGTAAGATGCTTGTGCTAGAATAAAATCGGTGCACCATATAGTGCCTTCGATGACCTGATGAAGCCAGCATCAACTAACTCTTTAAGCTGCTTCCTTAACTCCTCCAACTCTAGTGGAGACATTCAATAAGGGGTTCTAGCTGGTGGCTTAGCCTCGGACACCAGGTCGATCTTGTGGTCCACCTCCCTCTTAGGTGGTAGCTGGCTAGGCAGCTTTGCAGGCATCACATCGCTAAAGGTCTTCAGCACCTTTAACACCTCAAAGGGTGACTTGGTCTCTTTCTCCCTTGGTTCCTCATACTTCAGGGCTGCCAAGAAGGTGTCTTCTTCTTTGCTTACTACCTTGGCAAATTGGATGGCTGACACCACCCGTGACCCAACTCTAGACCCTCTCATCAATGGCACTAGGCATTGGCACCGTGCATCCAGGATGCAAATACAATTGGCAAAAGGCACAAAGAGGGTGTTAATCCGAACAACGAAATCCAACCCAATCATAAACTCATAGTCATCAAGGGGTATTACCTCTATGGTCTCTTTGCCTTTACAGTCTCCAAGCTGCAACTCCACTCCCCGTGCTACTCTAATGGCTAGAACCTCCTTGGAGTTCACCATTTTAATGGTACCAGTCCCTTTTTGCACTTTTGGTCTGAGCTTTTGGGCACCATCACCTAAAATAAAAAAGATGTGAGGCATCTGTGTCCACTAGTGCATTCATCTTTTGACCCGCAACCATCAGATCTATAAACATCAAGCCCTTTGGCTTACGGTTCCCCTTACTCCAGATAGCATTGAGCACTAATGACCTAAGCTTTGCTGCCCCTGACTCTGGCTCCTCATTAGACTCCTTGTCTACAGCAGCTAGCTTGCCCTTTTATGGGTAATTGCGCACTATGTGGCTCCCTCCACATAGGTAGCATGCTAGTGGCTCTTGGTCTCCCTTTGCTTTCCACTTGCTTGCTGGTGGCTTCCTCTCGCCATCCTTGGTTGAACGATCTTAGTCCCCATCCTTGGACTCCCAGTCACAGTCCTTCCCTTTGGATTATTTCTTTCGGTCCCTATCATCCCTGCCCTTACCCTTGGGCTTTGAAGACTCGAACTTGTTCAGAGGCTTGAACTCTATCAAAGACTTAGCAGTAGTCATGGCTTTAGCCAAGTCATGAACTCCCCTCCGTTGTAGCTCATGCTTCACCCATGGCTTCAGCCCATCCATGAAAGCAAATAAGGCATCTTTCTCACCTAGATTTGAGATCTATAGCATCAGTTCAGAAAATTTCTAGACATACTCCCTTTGTCCCCTTGTTGGCTTAGCCTACGTAACTTTGCCCGCACCTCATCATCAGCATACTCCGGGTAAAATTATTCTCTGAACTCTTTCTGAAACTTTGCCCAGGTTCCAATTTTGGCACTCCCATGCCTAACATCATCACACCTGCACCTCCACCACAACAAGGCCACATTAGTGAGATACATAGCAGCGGTGCTTACCTTTATTGTCTCATCCTGCATGCCCATAGCCTAGAAATACTGCTCTATACCCCGTAGGTAGTTGTCTACTTCCTTGGTCACCCTAGTCCCCTTAAACTCTTTAGGCTTGGGGACATCCATCCTAGACTTGGACACTCTAGCAAACATGCCATTCCCAATGGTAGTCTTGCAAGCAACGAGCTCACTAGCAAGCTCCTCCATCCGTTGGCGTATGGCCTCCATGCCATCGCAGAAGGTCAACACTTCAGCCTCCAAGGCCTCATTCCTTTGGGTGATCATGCCCATGCCTTTATTGAGAGCAGCTTGTAGCTCACCTTGGATCTCCTCCCCCATGAAGTCTAGTGATGCAATGTGAGTCTCCACTTCCTCAAGCTTCTCCCCCATGTCGCTCATGGTCACCTCTACCTTGGCCAGCCTACCGTTCATGGTAGACTATATATCTCTTGAACTGGCTTTCCTGCCTCTTCCACACCTCTACTCCTGGGCCTTTGGTTGTTGGGTAGCAACGTTGCTTTGGGATGCCATCTGCTCAATCACAATCTAGCCTGCACAACACAAACATGTAGAATCAAACTTGCTCTGATACCAACTGTCATGGGCTCTGACCTTAGACTCAGAATCTGTGTGGCCTTAGGCTTGCAATCTCCTCTTTTATGCCTAAGTTAGCCTAAAACACAAGTGTGTAGGCACTAGAACAATGGGAAGGGCTGATTGCACAAGTTAAAGAGAAATAAGATAATAAGGTAGAATGCTGGAAATATGCTATGTATTCACTAAAACAGAAGTGTTTGATGGTGTGCAAATAAGGGTGGAGCAGCCCTCTATTTATAGTTGAGGCTCTAACTACACTTAATGGCAATATCCCTAGAATAAAGGCTAAAATCAAGGGATTACAAAGATTACAATCAATCAAGATTCTAACTCTTGATTTCTAGGGTCAACCAAATCTGCCAAGAGGCTCCTGTTGATCCTGCAAGCTTCCAGAAGTTTCACTTGCATATCTAGGACCTTAGGCCCCTCTGGATGTGGTACGAGCAGCCTACATGCCAGGCCTTGGCCTCATAGGCTGGCCTGCAAGCTGGGCAGGCATTCTGGCCTTGTCTTCTAGGCCTTGCGTGCCAATACCCGCTTGCGTGCTTGGTGTGCAAGCCTCAACCTTTGGCTCACGTGCTGGTGAGCTTGATGTACTTGGCATGCCCTCCCAGGGTGTGACACTTGGCCGTTATATTTGCCCCTTATCCCTCAACAAAACCTCAACAACTCACACCCCCTTAAAGAGCATATGAGATTTTACAGGTTTGCTGCCAGTAACCATTCAAGTGTCTAAAATAAGGACACCTTTTTCAAATGGCCACAAAATCTTCTACACTTTGAGTATTTAGCTGAATTTTGTTTTGCATACCAACAAAAATACAAGTATCAGGTCTACCAATTTTGGGGCCAAAACTCTTTCTAAAAAAAGTTTAAAAAATCTCGAACCGTAAAAAATTTCAAAAATCATGAAAAATAGAAAATGAGTCATCTTGCCATGAAACTTCACATGAAGGCTTAGGGGACCATTGTATGAATTTACAAGCCATAAAAATGGCATTGCAGAGCAGAAATATGAAGATGTCCGTAAACCCACCTACCACCCTATTGGGCGCGCATGGTGCTCGACCCGAGCTCAAGACACCCGCATGTGGTGTGCGGGCGCTGGGGAGTGGTCATATAAATTCACAGGCTATAAAAATGGCATTGGCATGGTAGAAATATGAAGATGTGCCTAAACCCACCTACCACTCGATCGTTGCGCTCATTGGTGCTCGACCCGAGCTCAGGACACCCGCGCGTGCTACATGGGCATTGGGGAGTGTTGATATGAATTCATGGACCATAAAAATGGCTTTGGTACTGTAGAAAGATGAAGATATCCCTAAACCCATCTACTGCCCGATCGTGGTATGCAGGGTGCACGGTCCGAGCCTAGGTTCGGCCGCTTAGTGCGCGACCTAGCACGGGCCGATGTTGTTCAAGGGAACTGCCCGTACCAAGGTCCAGCATGCGTCGATAGAGATCGAAGCATGCACCAAGACCAAAGGCCAACATGTCTCGATGGTGCTCGAGGCATGTGCATGTGTCACGGTCAGCAAGCAAGTCAGGACTGGCCCCGGGGTTGTAGTGGGATAGGGTCCGATAGCTGGGGGCACCAGGCCTTGAGGCATACTTGAGGCATAGGTCATGGGGAACTAGACTGGGATAGTGGTGCGGGCAGTGATCAGGACTCCAGGGGCTTAGGCACGATGTTGGTTCGATAGAATTGAGCCAGGCCCAAGTGTGGGTGTTGGTGGGTGGTGCACGGACACGCAGTCAGACCGATGTGCAGGCACTGATGATCAAGGTGTGGGCATGCGGTTAGACCAAAGGTGTCCAAGGCAGCAGCCCGTACCAAGTGTCAATGTCGTGCCTTGGGCGTGCGCACTAAGAGTTGAGGCCCATGCCCCAGTGGCCAAGGCTCGAGCACCGTACGCAGAGACGGGGGTTTCAGCAATAGTCATTGCTATTACTGTCCAAACCACTCGCCCGAAAGTCCAGCCTTTCCACAGCATCGAGACTAGGCCCACAACATGCCTGTATCACATCCAGATGGTCCCAAGGAGTGGGGTCAAACCAAAACCGTATAGAAAGCCTGCAGGATTTGTAGCACACAGAAGAGGACCCGGTCGATCCTCAGCTTGCGTATTCTACCTCTCTGGCTGGCTTAGTGCTCGCCCGCTTGTTTCGTAGGTTGACTTAGGCATATCGAGTTCATTCCTAGTCTAAGCACTGACCAGACTGAGGGTTGTGGCACCAAGAACCGTAGCAGGATCGACAGCACGCAAAAGGGGACCCGACCGATCCTCAGCTTACGCATTCTGCCTCTCTAGCTGGCTTAATGCCCGCACGCTCATTTCGTAGGTTGACTTAGGCATACGGAGTTCATTCTCAGTCAGGACCAAGGGATGGAGGGCCCCGAGTCATGCCCAACCCGGAGAAGGGCGATGTAAAAAGAAGAAAGGTCGACGGGGGAAGGGGAGGAGGAAGGGGGAGGGACGAATCGAAGCAACAAAGGGCTAAATCTCAGTGGATCATGGCAGTAAGGCCACTCTACCACTTATAATACCCCATCATGTATTTAAGTCATCTATAAAGGATTCTACCCTCTGTTCGGTGGGAATTGAGCTCTAAGGAGGCCCGTACGGCTCATCCATCACGGGGGCTGCACCTACGACACGTGCCCTTAGGGGCCATGGGCCCCTACTGCGAGTCAACAATCGGGCGATGGGCACGCGCATCACTTCTAGCCCAGATTCTGACTTAGAGGCGTTTAATCATAATCCAACGCATGGTAGCTTCATGCCATTGGCTTTTCAACCAAATGCGATGACCAATTATGTGAATCAATGGTTCCTCTCGTACTAGGTTGAATTACTATCATGCCATCACCATCAGTAGGGTAAAACTAACCTGTCTCATGATAGTCTAAACCCAGCTCATGTTCCCTATTGGTGGGTGAACAATCCAACACTTGGTGAATTCTACTTCACAATGATAGGAAAAGCCGACATCGAAGGATCAAAAAGCAACATCACTATGAACGCTTGGCTGCCACAAACCGATTATCCCTATGGAAACTTTTCTGACACCTCTAGCTTCAAATCTCGAAGGTTTAAAGGATCGATAGGCCACACTTTCACGGTTCATATTCATACTGGAAATCAAAATCAAATGAGCTTTTACCCTTTTATTCTACACGAGATTTTTGTTCTCGTTGAGCTCATCTTAGGACACCTGCATTATCTTTTAACAGATGTGCCACCTCAGCCAAACTCTCCACCTGACAATGTCTTTCACCCGGATCGATCGGCCGAAACTGACCTTGGGTCTAAAAGAAAGGGTCGTGCCCCACCTTCGATTCACGGAATAAGTAAAATAACATTAAAAGTAGTGGTATTTCAATTTTGCCCGGGGGCTCCCACTTATCCTACACCTCTCAAGTCATTTCACAAAGTCGGACTAGAGTCAAGCTCAACAGGGTCTTCTTTCTCCGCTGATTCCACCAAGCCTGTTCCCTTGGCTGTGGTTTCGCTAGTAGTAGACAGGGACAGTGGAAATCTCGTTAATCCATTCATGCGCGACACTAATTAGATGATGAGGCATTTGGCTACCTTAAGAGAGTCATAGTTACTTTCGCCATTTACCCGCGCTTGGTTGAATTTCTTCACTTTGACATTCAGAGCACTGGGCAGAAATCACATTGTGTGAGCATCCGCAAGGACCATCACCAATGCTTTGTTTTAATTAAACAGTTGGATTCCCCTTGTCCATACCAATTCTTAATTGACTGTTAGTCGCCTTGGAAAGGCCCTGGTGGGAGCCTTTCCCAATCTGTCACCCGATCGAAACACGACGACCCATTCTCGTCACGGGAACAGCTCGAACAGTGCACCGACAGTCGACGGGTTCGAGACTGAGACCTCTATGCCCAACCCTCAGAGCCAATCCTTTTCTCAAGGTTGCGGATCTATTTTGCTGACTTCTCTTGCCTACATTGTTCCATCGACCAGAGGCTATTCACCTTGGAGACCTAATGCGATTATGAGTACGACCGGGCACGGACGGCACTCAGTCCTTCAGATTTTCAAGGGCCACCGGGGGCATATCGGACACCACGCGACCTCTGGTTGAGCCGTTTCCAGGGTGGGCGGGCCGTTAAATAGAAAAGATAACTCTTCTCGAGGCCCCCACCGATGTCTCCAGACTCCCTAACATTGCAGTCAGTCGTCGCATCCTGGTTTAGGAATTTTAACCCGATTTCCTTTCGAAGCTCTCACGGGTTGCTCTATCGAACGGGCTTTCCCCGTCTCTTAGGATCTACTAACCCATGTGCAAGTGCCGTTCACATGGAACCTTTCCCCTTTTCAGCCTTCAAAGTTTTCATTTGAATATTTACTACTACCACTAAGATCTACATCGATGATCGTTTCGTGTGGGCTCGTGCCCCGGGTTTTACAATGACTGTCATGCCCTCCTACTCATTCGAGGCTTGGCCCTTGCCCCGACGACTGGGTATAGGTGTCGCGTTTAAGCTCCATCCATTTTCGAGGCTAGTTGATTCGACAGGTGAGTTGTTACACACTCCTTAGCGGATTTTGACTTCCATGACCATCGTCTTGCTGTCTTAATCAACCAACACCATTTTATGGGTTCTGTGTTAGCGTGTACTTGGGCACCGTAACTCAACTTTCAGTTCATCTTGCATCACCAGTTCTGCTTACCAAAAATGGCCCACTTGGAGCTCTCGATTCCGTGGCATGGCTCAACAAAGCAGCCGCATCATCCTACCTATTTAAAGTTTGAGAATAGTTTGAGGGCATTGCACTCTCGATGCCTCTAATCATTGGCTTTACCCGATAGAACTCACTGGGGGCTCCAGCTATCCTAAGGGAAACTTCGAAGGGAACCAGCTACTAGACGGTTCGATTAGTCTCTAGCCCCTATACCCAAGTCCAAGGAATGATTTGCACATCAGTATCACTGCAGGCCTCCACTAGAGTTTCCTCTGGCTTTGCCCTGCTCAGGCATAGTTCACCATCTTTCAGGTCTCGACGAGCATGCTTGCACTCAAACCCTTCTCAGAAGATCAAGGTTGGTCGATAGTGCACCCGTGAGGGATCCTGCCAATCAGTTTCCTTGTGCTTTATGAGTTTCTTGGCCCATTGACTCACATGCATGTCATACTCTTTGGTTCATGTTTCAAGACGGGTTGGATGGAGAGCCCACAGGTCGATGCCAGGAGCACACGGTGTCGAGGCACATCGAGACAGCGCCTGCTGCATTCCATGATCATGATGAAGACGTCTCTGCGGGCACATTGAAAGCTCAGGCTTGGCCACCATCGTGACCCGCAGCGGTCCACACCTCGAGCCAATCGGTGGACCGACTCTTGTCATTCTACATCCGATCAGGGCGCATCATCAGTCACTATCCGTTTCCCTTCCAACAATTTCAAGTACTCTTTGACTCTTTTTTCAAAGTCCTTTTCATCTTTCCCTTGCGGTACTTGTTCGCTATCAGTTTCTCGCCCGTATTCAGCCTTGGATAGAATTTATCGCCCAATTCGGGCTGTATTCCCAAACAACTCGACTCGTTGACAGCATCTCATGCTACGATAGAGTCCAGGCACAATAGGGCTCTCACCCTCTCCGGTGCCCCTTTGCAGGGGACTTGGGCCTAGTTCACCGCTGAGGACACTTCTCCAGACTACAATTCAGACATCAGGGGCACCCGATTCTCAAGCTGGGCTCTTCTCGGTTCACTCACCGTTACTAGGGGAATCCTGGTAAGTTTCTTTTTCTCTGCTTATTGATATGCTTAAACTCAGCGGGTGATCCCGCTTGACTTGGGGTCGCGTTTCGAGCATAGATCGAGCGATGCAGGGGGTCTGATGGGGTTCGAGTGGACAACGAGCATGCGTCACTGGGGATGAGGAACGCCGGGAGCTCTACCACCGACGGTCACGACGCTGTCATTGTCGGGGACTCACTTTTGGGCCAACCACATCCAATGGGATCATGGGAGGCCATCTTTCGCCCGCCCCCTTCCCCCGAAGCTCAATGGTGAGGGTTTGAGGGGGGCAACGGTGCATGACACCGAGGCAGGTGTGCCCTCAGCCTAATGGCTTCAGGTGTAACTTATGTTCAAGACTCGATGGTTCACGAGATTTTGCAATTCACACCAAGTATCATATTTCGCTACGTTCTTCATCGATACGAGAGCCAAGATATCCGTTACCGAGAGTCGTTTCATTTTTTTACGACAAAAGGAGTCACGACGCCTCCCGTTTTCGTTTCAGTTCCTTGGCATAATTCACGTCGGGGTTTCGTTATTCGACAGTGAACGAGATGATGTCGATCATTTTGCCCGCCTGGTAGCGGGGATGAAGTGATCATCTCACTCGTCCAGGGATGAAAGGGGCTCGAGGCATGGGGGCACCATCATCCCCTCGATGTTTTGTTAACGCGTCTACGGGTAGTCTGTCGAGTGGGGTTTCGACAATGATCCTTCCACAGGTTCACCTATGGAAATCATGTTATGACTTCTCTATCCTCTAAATGATAAGGTCAAGTGGACTTCTCGTGACGTCGCGGGCGGTAAACCGTCCACATCTTCACTATCCAAACACTTCACCAGACCATTCAATCGGTAGGAGTGATGAGCGGTGTGTACAAAGGGTAGGGACGTAGTCAACGTGAGCTGATGACTCGCGCTTACTAGGAATTCCTCGTTAAAGACCAACAATTGCAATGATCTATCCCCATCATAATGAAATTTTAAAGATTACCCGAGCCTGTCGGTGAAGGCTATAGACTCGTTGAATACATCAGTGTAATGTGTGTGCTTCCCAAAACATCTAAGGGCATCATAGACCTGTTATTGCCTCAAACTTCCTTGGCCTAAGTGGCCATAGTCCCTCTATGAAGCTAGCCATGAAGGATTACCTCCGCGTAGCTAGTTAGCAGGCTGAGGTCTCGTTCATTAATGGAATTAACCAAACAAATTGCTCCACCAACTAAGAACGGCCATACACCACCACGCATAGAATCAAGAAAGAGCTCTCAATCTATCAATCCTTACTATGTCTGGACCTGGTAAGTTTCCTTCTATTGAGTCAAATTAAGCCATAGGCTCCACTCCTCGTGGTGCCCTTCTGTCAATTTCTTTAAGTTTCAGCCTTGCGACCATACTCCCCCCAGAACCCAAAGACTTTGATTTCTCATAAGGTGCCGATGGAGTCCTAAAAGTAACATCCGTTGATCCCTGGTCAACATCATTTATGGTTGAGACTAAGATGGTATATGATCATCTTCGAGCACCTAACTTTCATTCTTGATTAATGAAAACATCCTTGGAAAATGCTTTCGTAGTTGTTCATCTTTCATAAATCCAAGAATTTCACCTCTGACTATGAAATACGAATGCCCCCGGTTGTCCCTGTTAATCATTACTATGATCTCAAAGGCTAACACAATAGGATTGAAATCCTATGATGTTATCCCATGCTAATGTATACAAGCGTAGGCCTACTTTGAGTACTCTAATTTCTTCAAAGTAACAATGCCAGAGGAACAACCCGGGCAATTAAGTCCAGGAGCACATCACCGATAATAGGGACGAGTAAACCGGTGCTCACCGTGAGGTGAACCGGATGACCCATCCCTAGTTTTAACTATGAGCTTTTTAACTGCAACAACTTAAATATACACTATTGGAGTTGGAATTACCGTGGCTGTTGGCACCAGACTTGCCCTTCAATGGATCCTCGTTAAGGGAATTAGATTGTACTCATTCTAATTACCAAAATCATAGAGCTCGATATTGTTATTTATTGTCACTACCTCTCTGTGTCAGGATTGCGTAATTTACGGCCTGCTACCTTCCTTGGATGTGGTAGCCGTTTCTCAGGCTCCCTCTCTGGAATCGAACCCTAATTCTTCATCACCCGTCACCACCATAGTAGGCCACTATCCTACCATCAAAAGTTGATAGGGCAGAAATTTGAATGATGCATCACCGGCACAAAGGCTGTGCAATCCTTTGAGTTATCATGAATCATCAGAGCAACGAGCATAGCCCGGGTCAACCTTTTATCTAATAAATGCATCCCTTTTAGAAGTCAAGGTTTGTTGCACGTATTAGCTCTAGAATTACTATGATTATCCGAGTAGTAGATACCATCAAACAAATTATAACTAATTTAATGAGTCATTCACAGTTTCACAATCTGAATTAGTTCATACTTACACATGCATGGCTTAATCTTTGAGACAAGCATATGACTACTGGCAGGATCAACCAAGTAGCATTCTTTCAGGACGTTGGCATCGCGTAGGCCTCGACGCACTGACCAAGCGACAGAGAGAACCCAACGTGGAGCGCAAGCGTCATGCGTGTCGAGCACATGAAATGCATAGCATCAGACGAATGGGGGTCGAGAGCCCACACCTGCTAAACGTTCTACATCTGAGAGCATGATCAAACACCGGTGCACCAATGCGGCCATGAAGGATTGGGTGGCGTGCTTGGGACACCGACCACAATTGACGTCTGAAATGTAGTCCCTCAAGACACGAGACGGATAAGGGATGTTGAGACATTCGGTTTCCATCGATTCAGGTATGCAGCACAGGATCCCGATCGCACTTCCAGGGTACGATGACCACATGGGGGGAGATTAAAGAGGATGATGGGTAAACAGTTTGATGCATCGAGCACGAAGCCTGCCAATACGCACAACCATAGCACCACTCATATGCTCATTGCGTACAAGTGGCAGCATCCATGTGCACCGGTCCACAACCCACTCGATCGATTACTCGATGAGCGAGCGAAGGAAAAAATGTGCAAGGCCATGCCACAACTACTTG